CGTTTAGACGGGGCGGAACTACCGAGTTATTGCTGTTCTTATTGTGGAATTAAGGTGTGACAGTTCTCCTTTGAATTATAGGCTACTTCTGCCTCTCTCTATCTTAACATTCTTATATATATATATATATATATATATATATATATATATATATATATATATTTATATATATATATATATATATATATATATATATATATATATATATCGTGCTGAATAAGTAAACCTTACGATTTTTGCATAAATAACAACGCTCTTCTTGCCGAATAAGACAAGCTAAAATTTGTGTATGCAGTAATTTCGCAAAAATAATTCTGAACCTAACGAGAAAATATATTTCATTGCGTTTATTAATAAATTATTTTAAACTTATCTAAAATATATTTAGCTGGATTAGGCTCAATTAAATAGCTCTTTTTGTGATAAGGTCAGGTAAATTTTCTAAGGTTCTTTTGGTACAAAATTATTAATTTTTACATTAACATAAATGAAAAAAAAATATCTTTAAACATATAAGAGAAATTTTTAGAAAGAATTTTAAATGGGTTCTTACTAAATGACTAATTTTACCTATTCGGCACGACATATACACAAACATATGCCATGAATTAGATGAAAGAAAATGGAAATTAGGACTAAATTAGTGAAAAAAAGATATATAAGATTTTGAGAGAAATGTTAGGGATGAATTTGGGAAAATACTGGTGTACGATATTAGTCGTTTACGTTGTTTATATCTGGAGGTTATGAAGTGGATGGGACAGACTGCTGCCTCTCCACAACCATTAACTGAGGACTTCATCCTAAATGCTGGGAATTCAAGAACGTTTCTACTTACTTTATCTCGTGTGTGTGTGTGTGTGTGTGTGTGTGTGTGTTTGTTTATACATTTCCCGTACCATCCATGGCCTCTCATCTAGCTCCTGGATCACCCCATGGTACGTCACAGTGTCGAAAACTTTCTTGAAGTCTGGCAAAATGCAGTCAACCCATCCCTCTCTTTCCCATTTTACCCTCGTTACCTCCTTCAAACCTGCAGGAGATTCAACGTCCCATATATACCATCCTAAATCCCTTCTCCCTAACAGTATATTGACCAAACCTTCGATTTAAAGTTCATTTCCGCTCTATATCGCGTCACTGCTCGGTAACCGGCCATCAAGACGCTATTTATCCGGTTAACTTATTGGCGGACGCCGCAGGCGGGGCTGTCGAACCGTTCACAGTGATGTGAATGGCTCACACACGTTGGCATTTATCCCGTGAGGGTTTATAGCACGGCTTTACAGGGCCTTACTCAGCAGTCACAGTTTGTCAATAGGCAACACATTACCTACAATATATATATATATATATATATACATATATATATATATATATATATTATATATATTATATATATATATATATATATATATATATATTTATATATATATATATATATATATATTTTATATATATATATATATATATGTATTATATACGTGTGTGTGTGTGTTGTGTGTGTGTGTGTGTGTGTGTGTGTAGGCTAAAAGAAACTCTTCTGTACATAGTGTAGTGTTAAGTATGGTGTAATGTATGATGTATGGCCATACGTATTGTATTAGGGCTACTGAAGTTATCATGAGGTGTATTTGCTGTATGACTGCAGCTGTATAATGTATTTGGTGTAATATATAATGAACGGTGTCCAACACTCTCTCCTGGATAACATAAAATTAAGTACCGTTTACTTTAAGGGTTCCCGTTGTTTGTCGAACACAACAGAAGCTCCAGCACTGTTCCATTACACTAGCACTTCCCGTTTCTCTTACAAACAACAGAAGCTGTTGTTATCTCCCAAACAAAATCTGTTATTGAACTTACTGAGAAAGTTTTTCCCAACTGTAGATTAGATTCTGACTGGATGTATATGGTGTGTGTGTGTGTGTGTGTGTGTGTGTCATCTCCAGGTCAGAGCTTAATTATCACCAGGTGAGGTTCGTCATTACCCTCTAAATTACTCTTTAATTACCACTTAGAGGTGCAATAATTACTTCTATAATTACACTGTGATAATCACCTAGACGTTTTTCTCATTAATCCCCTCGTTTATGACCTCGTCTCACACGGATTTAATAGCTTAAGACGAACCTGTCTTCCATAAGTGTTCCTTAGGTCACACAGACACAGGGCTGGGAGCTGTGAATCGACCCCTGCAACCACAACTAGGTGAGTACACACACGTCTATCGTAGGTGGTAACCTAATGAAGGAGGTCACCTAGCTTAGGAGTCACCTAACGAAGGTCATTTAACTTAAGAGTCACGTAACGAAGGAGGTCACCTAACTTAGGAGTCACCTAACGAAGGAGGTCACCTAACTTAGAAGTCACCTAACGAAAGAGGTCAACTAACTTAAGAGTCACCTAACGAATAGAGTCACGTAACGAAGGAGGTCACCTAACTTAGAAGTCACCTAACGAAGGAGGTCACCTAACTTAAGAGTCACCTAACGAAGGAGGTCACCTAACTTAAGAGTCACCTAACGAAGGAGGTCACCTAACTTAAGAGTCACCTAACGAAGGAGGTCACCTAACTTAAGAGTCACCTAACGAAGGAGGTCACCTAACTTAAGAGTCACCTAACGAAGGAGGTCACCTAACTTAAGAGTCACCTAACGAAGGAGGTCACCTAACTTAAGAGTCACCTAACGAAGGAGGTCACCTAACTTAAGAGTCACCTAACGAAGGAGGTCACCTAACTTAAGAGTCACCTAACGAAGGAGGTCACCTAACTTAAGAGTCACCTAACGAAGGAGGTCACCTAAGATGAGACAGGAGATGAAACAAAAAAACAGTTTACCCTAATGAAATGAAACTAATAAAGAAAATGGGAATTATTATTATTATTATTATTATTATTATTATTATTATTATTATTATTATTATTATTATTATTATTATTATTATTATTATTATTATTATTATTATTATTATTATTTTAAGATTATCAGAGGTAGAAGGGAAACTGTTATAAAGTTTACAGTGTACACTGGATTATTCATTATTATTCAGCTTGAAGACGATTATTATAGATGTGGAAATTAATGAGATATATGTGCTTTGTGTACAACTCCTTTCACTGTTAGTGCCACTGTGTCACTGTTTGTGTCACTGTTGGTGTCACTGTGTCACTGTTAGTGTCACTATGTCACTGTTATAGCCACTGTTAGTGTCACTATGTCACTGCTATAGTCACTGTTATTACCACTGTTAGTGTCACTATTAGTGTCAATGTATCACTGTTTTTATCACTGTTAGTATCACTGTTATTGTCATTGTTAGTGTCACTGCTACTGTCACTGTTAGTGTCACTGTTATTGTCACTGTTAGTGTCACTGTTTATTGTCACTGTTAGTGTCACTGTTATTGTCACTGTTAGTGTCACTGTTTATGTCACTATTTCCACAGTGTCAGTGTTCATACCAGTTCTCTCTCGTAGGATTCTTGTATTGAACACATTTAGTGAACACATGTTGAACACATGTTGAACACATGTTCAACACATGTTCAACACATGTTCAACACATGTTCAACACATGTATTGAATATAGTCACCCGGGCGTAAAGACATGTAAACAGGAATTACTGGTATGTGTGTGTGTGTGTGTACCCACCTATACGTGACTACAGTGGTCGAACCACAGCTCCTGGCCCCGCATCTTGGCTGCTGGCTACAAGATTCACTCCTGATTTAGTAAGTCTTTCAGTTTTCTCTTAAAACATTACATGGATACCGCGTCTACCATCTTATTTTCGGATTTACCTTAAAGATTAATATCTTCCAAGAATACATAGAACTCAAGGTAAACAGAAATATGTAAAAGAGTGGAGAACATAGGAGACGTGCAGGTGACCTGAATAAGTCAACATCTGTCAATATATGAAGATACACTGGTGTTGTACATGTGTCTAATTAAATTGTAGGTATTGTATACCATTACTGTGTTGATGCAAAAGTCAAAGGTCAGAGCGATGAGGTTTATATATATATATATATATATATATATATATATATATATATATATATATATATATATATATATATAATATAAACCATATTTTGTATAGGCAGAGGGACTGATCACCTCCTGTGTTATAATTGCCAGTATTCGACTGAGAAAGCCTGCTACGCGGGCGAAATGTTTGACCAATACAGGTGGTGGCTCAGTACTGCACCTGTGTCGTACTCATTAAGCTGTGAGACAGCGTTGCAAACCCACACGAACACAGTCTCTAAGAGGTTTTTGTCAGTCGAATACTGACAAAACGGGACCGAGGGACTGAGGTAATCTGTCCCTCGGTCTTGAGAGAAGGTTGTTATTCTCTGTACCAACAACAGCAGGGAACCACGGTCACCTCAGTACAGTCATTAGCAAATTTCTGCTTACCTATTTCCTTTGGCTCAACAAACGCATCATAACTGTGTTAATGGTATACAATACCGAGCACTTGATGAGTTAGACACATGTACAACACCTGTGTTCCTTTATGGAGCTACAGGTGTTGATATATTCAGGTCACGTGACCTAGGTCTACACACACCAAAGATATTCCTTCACGACACACACACACACACACACACACACACACACACACACACACTACACACACACACACACACACACACACACACGAGGTATGATAAAGGTCATGGAACAGGGAGAGTGACCTAGTAGTGACCAGTGAAGAGGCGGGGCCAGGAGCTGTGAATCTATCCCTACAACCACAATTAGGTGAGTACACATACACACACATACAATTCACAATTACTTCTCTTCACTAATAATTGCTTGTACTCAACACGTACAATCAGGTACTCATTATATAAATTCCCTTCATATATATCAATTATAAATTCCCTCTATATATATAAATTATAAATTAGAGATTAGTTACGTTAACTTGAAGTGATTTATAAACTAATTACATTCGTCTAAAGTAACTGTGTCTTATTACAGGTTTGAGACGATGTCTTCCAGAACTATGACTTCTTTCCTCAACCTACTGACCTGCCTGGTTCTAGGTAGGTGCAAAAAGCCGACCTGCTGACCTGCCTGGTTCTAGGTAGTTGCTAGACTCCGACCTGTTGACCTGCCTGGTTCTAGGTAGTTGCTAGACTCCGACCTGTTGACCTGCCTGGTTCTAGGTAGTTGCTAGACTCCGACCTGTTGACCTGCCTGGTTCTAGGTAGTTGCTAGACTCCGACCTGTTCACCTGCCTGGTTCTAGGTAGGTGCTAAACGCTGATCTGTTGACCTGCCTGATTCTAGGTTGGCGCTAGACCCACGACCCTCTGACCTGCTAGGCTCTAGGTCACCCTGCTGACTTGCTAGGAATTATGTCACCCTGCTGACCTCTCAGCAAGTCCAGAGGTTAAACTCTTCAGCCTCTCTCACTTGTTATAACAAGAAAACATTCTTGGAATTAACTCGATGCTGCTATTCAGAGGTGTAACGCCTGCTGTGTCTCAGTCACCCTCAACCCCACCTGCCCCCTCCTTCAACCCCACCTGCCCCCTCCTTCAGCCCACCTGCCCCTCCTTCAACCCCACCTGCCCCTCCTTCAGCCCCACCTGCTCCTCATTCAACCCCACCTGCCCCTCCTTCAACCCCACCTGCCCCTCATTCAACCCCACCTGCCCTCCTTTAACCCCACCTGCCCTCCTTCACCCCCACCTGCCCCCTCCTTCAACCCCACCTGCCCCTCCTTCAGCCCCTCCTGCCCTCCTTCAACCCCCTGCCCTCCTTCAACCCCACCTGCCCCTCCTTCAGCCCCCCCTGGCCCCTCCTTCAGCCCAACCTGCCCTCCTTCAACCCCCCCCTTCCCCTCCTTCAGCCCCACCTGCCCCTCATTCAACCCCACCTGCCCCTCCTTAAAACCCCACTTGCCCCTCCTTCAACCCCACCTGCCCCTCCTTCAACCCCACCTCCCCCTCCTTCAACCCCACCTGCCCCCCCTTTTAAACCCCCACCTGCCCCTCCTTCAACCTCACCTGCCCCTCCTTAAACCCCCACCTCCCCCTCCTTCAACCCCACCTCCCCTTCCTTAAAACCCCACCTGTCCCTCCTTCAACCCCACCTGCCCCTCCTTCAACCCACCTGCCCCCCCTTTAACCCCACCTGCCCCTCCTTCAACCCCCCACCTCCCCCTCATTCAACCCCACCTGCCCCTCCTTCAGCCCACCTGCCCCTCCTTAAAACCCCCCCTTTGCCCTCCTTCAACCCCACCTGCCCCTCCTTCAACCCCACCTGCCCCTCCTTCAACCCCACCTGCCCCTCCTTCAACCCCGATAAACACGTTGCAATATACACCAGCACTGTATCCCTCAAACCTATATATACCATCTTTATACCAACAATGAATCTTCTAAGTCTTGCGTACCATATTATTTTATAAAAGTATACACCCTTGAAGACTTATACATAGTGAACGAAAAGCAGAATACATAAAAAAAAACAGAGACAAAATAACAGAACGTCAACAATTGGAGAAGAAATATAGACGTTAGAAGGTCCCGGACGTAAAGTATAAACGGAGAAACTACCCGTAAAGCGATGCAGTAAAAACAAATGACAGTCGGGAGTCGAGGGGGGTGAAAAAACATTGGAACCTCTTTAGTTACAGTGTTTGCCTGTCCGTGTGTCGTTCAGAGAGAGGGTTGAAACCCATTTCTCCAGGCCTATTTCAAACTGCTGGCGCTCTTGAAGGGTGAAGGAGTGTACTCTGGAGTGTTCTCTGGAGTGCACTCTGGAGTGTACTCTGGAGTGTACTCTGGAGTGTATTCTGGAGTGTACTCTGGAGTGTACTCTGGAGTGTACTCTGGAGTGTGCTCTGGAGTGTATTCTGGAGTGTATTCTGGAGTGCACTCTGGAGTGTATTCTGGAGTGTACTCTGGAGTGTACTCTGGAGTGTACTCTGGAGTGTACTGTGGAGTGTACTGTGGAGTGTACTCTGGAGTGTACTTTGGAGTGCATTCTGGAGTGCACTCTGAAGTGTATTCTGGAGTGTATTCTGGAGTGCACTCTGGAGTGTATTTTGGAGTGTACCCTGGAGTGTACTCTGGAGTGTACTCTGGAGTGTACTCTGGAGTGTACTCTGGAGTGTATTCTGGAGTGTAGGTATCGCCTGGCTGGTTTTGCCCGACACACAGCTTGAGTACAAGGTACGGCAGACACTCCCTTCCGGGGAAGATATAGTGGGAGTTAGTCCAGCAACTGCAGGTTCAGTAGCGGGCCAGGAGTTCAGGCTCGACCCTTGCTACCGCGAATGAGTTGGTGCACACACACACCTCTTTAAAAAGTACACCCCTTTCAGAAAAATAACACCCCTTTCAGAAAAATAACGCCCCTTTCAGAAAAATAACGCCCCTTTCAGAAAAATAACGCCCCTTTCAGAAAAATAACGCCCCTTTCAGAAAAATAACGCCCCTTTCAGAAAAATAACGCCCCTTTCAGAAAAATAACGCCCCTTTCAGAAAAATAACGCCCCTTTCAGAAAAATAACGCCCCTTTCAGAAAATAACGCCCCTTTCAGAAAAAATAACCCCCTTTCAGAAAAATAACGCCCCTTTCAGAAAAATAACACCCCTTTCAGAAAAATAACACCCCTTTCAGAAAAATAACACCCCTTTCAGAAAAATAACACCCCTTTCTAAAAAATAACACCCTTTCTTAAAAAATAACACCCCTTTCAGAAAAATAACACCCCTTTCAGAAAAATACACACCCTTTCAGAAAAAAATAACACCCCTTTCAGAAAAATAACACCCCTTTCAGAAAAAAATAACACCCCTTTCAGAAAAATAACACCCCTTTCAGAAAAATAACACCCCTTTCAGAAAAAAATAACACCCCTTTCAGAAAAATAACACCCCTTTCAGAAAAAAATAACACCCCTTTCAGAAAAAAATAACACCCCTATCAGAGCAGAATTATTAACAATTACAAAAGCCATTATTCACCAGGGAAATATCCTAATTTAAGAATGTACAAATATTTATAGATTATTAATGTGGCGGCGGTATAATGTTGTGTTGAATTATAGGCGGAGATAAGAGAGGCTGGATATAATATATAGAGCTAATATATTATCTTGTTTTACCTACGTTATAAAGGGGATTTAACTCCTTAGATTAATGGTGCTAATGGGATGGAAGGTAAAGGGAAGTCATCTGTTAATAGGATGGTGGGTTGGTGGTGGGTTGGTGGTGGGTTGGTGGTGGGTTGGTGATGGGTTGGTGGTGGGTTGGTGATGGGTTGGTGATGGGTTGGTGGTGGGTTGGTGATGGGTTGGTGGTAGCTTGGTGATGGGTTTGTGGTGAGTTTGTGGTGAGTTTGCGGTGGGTTTGGGGTGGGTTTGTGGTGAATTTGGGGTGGTTTGGGGTGGGTTTGTGGTGAGTTTGGGTGGGTTTGGGGTGGATTTGGGGTGGGGTTTGTGGTGAGTTTGGGGCGGGTTTGTGGTGAGTTTGTGGTGTTTGGGGTGGGTTTGGGGTGGCTTTGTGGTGTTTGAGGTGGGTTTGGGTGGGTTTATGGTGAGTTTGGGGTGGGTTTGGGGGTGGATTTGGGGTGGGTTTGCGGTGGGTTTGGGGTGGGTTTGTGGTGAGTTTGGGGTGGTTTGGGGTGGGTTTGTGGTGAGTTTCGGGTGGGTTTGGGTGGGTTTGTGGTGAATTCGGGGTGGGTTTGGGTTGGGTTTGTGGTGAGTTTGGGGTGGGTTTTGTGGTGAGTTTGGGGTGGGTTTGTGGTGAGTTTGGGGTGGGTTGTGGTGAGTTTAAGGTGGGTTTGTGGTGAGTTTGGGGTGGGTTTGGGGTGAGTTTGTGGTGAGTTTGGGGTGAGTTTGTGGTGAGTTTGGGGTGAGTTTGTGGTGAGTTTGGTGGGTGGGTTTGTGGTGATTTGGGGTGAGTTTGTGGTGAGTTTGGGGTGGGTTTGGGGTGAGTTTGTGGTGAGTTTGGGGTGAGTTTGTGGTGAGTTTGGGGTGAGTTTGGGGTGAGTTTGGGTGAGTTTGTGGTGAGTTTGGGGTGGGTTTGGGGTGAGTTTGTGAGTGAGTTTGGGGTTGAGTTTGTGGTGAGTTTGGGGTGGGTTTGGGGTGAGTTTGTGGTGAGTTTGGGTGGAGTTGTGGTGAGTTTGGGGTGGGTTTGGTGTGAGTTTGTGGTGAGTTTGGGGTGAGTTTGTGGTGAGTTTGGGGTGGGTTTGGTGTGAGTTTTGTTGTGAGTTTGGAGTGGGTTTGGGTGGGTTTGTGGTGAGTTTGTGGTGAGTTTGGGGTGGGTTGAAGGGAGGGGGGGGTTGAGAGCTCTCTCTTGCTCCAAGAAGGGGTGATAAAGAGAGTGAAAGAGAAAAGAGAGAGAGAAAGGCAGGGAGAGAGACAACAATGAAGGGAGAAAGATAGGAAGAGGCAGAGAGTAGAATATTTCTCATAATTTATCACTGAATAACATTAACATAGTTGTCCAATTACTAACATTAACATACCTGCACACTTAGTAACATTAACATACCTGCACACTTAGTAACATTAACATAACTGTACACTTAGTAACATTAACATACCTGTACACTTAGTAACATTAACATACCTGTACACTTAGTAACATTAACATGCTTGCACACTTAGTAACATTAACATACCTGTACACTTAGTAACATTAACATACCTGCACACTTACTAACATTAACATACCTGTACACTTAGTAACATTAACATACCTGTACACTTAGTAACATTAACATACCTGCACACTTACTAACATTAACATGCTTGCACACTTAGTAACATTAACATACCTGTACACTTAGTAACATTAACATACCTGTACACTTAGTAACATTAACATGCTTGCACACTTACTAACATTAACATGGTTGCACACTTACTAACATTAACATACCTGTACACTTAGTAACATTAACATACCTGTACACTTAGTAACATTAACATGCTTGCACACTTAGTAACATTAACATACCTGTACACTTAGTAACATTAACATACCTGCACACTTAGTAACATTAACATACCTGTACACTTAGTAACATTAACATACCTGTACACTTAGTAACATTAACATACCTGCACACTTACTAACATTAACATACCTGTACACTTACTAACATTAACATACCTGTACACTTAGTAACATTAACATACCTGCACACTTACTAACATTAACATACCTGTACACTTACTAACATTAACATACCTGTACACTTAGTAACATTAACATACCTGTACACTTAGTAACATTAACACACCTGTACACTTACTAACATTAACATACCTGTACACTTAGTAACATTAACATACCTGTACACTTAGTAACATTAACATACCTGTACACTTAGTAACGTTAACATACCTGTACACTTAGTAACATTAACATGCTTGCACACTTGATAATTTCAACATTGCTCAAAATTCAACATTTTAAACTTGCTGTATCAATTACCCGGAGAAGTTAAACGAGAGTTTTACACTTGTTAACTTTTGTTGAACTCATTATCCCTTGATGAGAGAGAGAGAGAGAAGAGAGAGAGAGAGAGAGAGAGAGAGAGAGAGAGAGAAGAGAGAGAGAGAGAGAGAGAGAGAGAGAGAGAGAGAGAGAGAGAGAGAGAGAGAGAGAGAGAGAGAGAGAGAGAGAGAGAGAGAGAGAGAGAGAGAGAGAGAGAGAGGAGAGAGAGAGAGAGAGAGAGAGAGAGAGAGAGAGCTAACTCTCACTCCTTATCTTCCCACAGTGGTGACAACAACAGTGCCGCCAGTGACGGACACTGGCCAGGATGCTGTCACTGTCCAGACCGCGGAGATGCCCAGCGGAGAAGCATCTTCCTCCTCCTCCTCCTCCTCAGCATCCTCCTCATCTCCCATCAGCCTTATCTCCCACAGAGACGGTCCCAGGGTAAGTCTCCTTTGACCATATTAAACGCTAAATACACTGATGCACATGCTAACCACAACAGTCTAAATGCCCAGTCTCCTACATCACTCCGCGGAGGATCGAGCCTTCATTTTTTTTCTCAGATTTACAGACCCGAAATAAAATTTATAATTTCTGCCCAGTGTGATTAATTCAGAAAATTTATATAATATAAACATGGCAGAGGTAAGCAAGTTTTGATTCAGAATTTATATTCTCCTCAGAATTTATATAAATTCAGATCACAACTGAATGGAACTGGGATAGATTGCCGGGTTGGGTGAGATGTATGAACAAGTCTCCTTACACCTGCTGCCCCTCTGCACCTAGCAGTAAATAGGTACCTGGATGGTAGGTGATTATTTTGGGTGGCATCTTGGGGGAGGGTTGTGTTCCATAGACAGTGATGAGCTTTGAAATGAGTTAAGATAACAGCTGTTATCCTGTGAGCTGAGGTAAGATAGCAGCTGTTATCCTGTGAGCTGAGGTAAGATAACAGCTGTTATCCTGTGAGCTGAGGTAAGATAACAGCTGTTATCCTGTGAGCTGAGGTAAGATAACAGCTGTTATCCTGTGAGCTGAGGTAAGATAACAGCTGTTATCCTGTGAGCTGAGGTAAGATAACAGCTGTTATCCTGTTAGCTGATGTAAGATAACAGCTCTTATCTTGTGAGGTAAGATAGCAGCTGTTATCCTGTGAGCTGAGGTAAGATATCAGCTATTATCTTGTTAGCTGATGTAAGATAACAGCTGTTATCTTGTGAGGTAAGATAGCAGCTGTTATCCTGTGAGCTGAGGTAAGATAACAGCTGTTATCTTGTGAGGTAAGATAGCAGCTGTTATCCTGTGAGCTGAGGTAAGATAACAGCTGTTATCTTGTGAGGTAAGATAGCAGCTGTTATCCTGTGAGCTGAGGTAAGATAACAGCTGTTATCCTGTTAGCTGATGTAAGATAACAGCTGTTATCTTGTGAGGAAAGATAGCTGTTATCCTGTGAGCTGAGGTAAGATATCAGCTGTTATCTTGTAAATGAGCCGAGCTAAGATAACAGCTCCTGTCTTGTAAATGAGCCGAGCTAAGATAACAGCTCCTGTCTTGTAAATGAGCCGAGCTAAGATAACAGCTCCTGTCTTGTAAATTAGCCGAGCTAAGATAACAGCTCTTATCTTGTAAATGAGCCGAGCTAAGATAACAGCTCCTGTCTTGTAAATGAGCCGAGCTAAGATAACAGCTCCTGTCTTGTAAATGAGCCGAGCTAAGATAACAGCTCCCGTCTTGTAAATGAGCCGAGCTAAGATAACAGCTCCTGTCTTGTAAATGAGCCGAGCTAAGATAACAGCTCCTGTCTTGTAAATGAGCCGAGCTAAGATAACAGCTCCTGTCTTGTAAATGAGCCGAGCTAAGATAACAGCTCTTATCTTGTAAATGAGCCGAGCTAAGATAACAGCTCTTATCTTGTAAATGAGCCGAGCTAAGATAACAGCTCCTGTCTTGTAAATGAGCCGAGCTAAGATAACAGCTCTTATCTTGTAAATGAACCGAGCTAAGATAACAGCTCCTGTCTTGTAAATTAGCCGAGCTAAGATAACAGCTCTTATCTTGTAAATGAGCCGAGCTAAGATAACAGCTCCTGTCTTGTAAATTAGCCGAGCTAAGATAACAGCTCTTACCTCGTCAAGTAAACTGAGTAAACAGAATTACCAACTCTGGAAACACACATGACAGAGGAGTATCGAAATTACTTTTCCCTGCAGGTGGACACGCGGCATTCCGGAAACGTGTCGTCGGTGCTGGGACGGACGGCGTCTCTACGGTGTCGCGTCCTCGACAAGGGCAACAAGACGGTGAGTCTCGTAGGAAGGGCCAGGAGCTGTGACTCGATCCCCATCCCTCTCACACGGCAACCACAAAGAGGAGAGGAGGGCTACAGGGAAGTGTTTATCGACAAGTGCCTTTGGTAGACAGTAACTAACAGACAGACACACACATGACACATACATGACACACACACATGACACACACATGACACATACACATGACACACACACATGACACACACATGACACATACACATGACACACACACACATGACACACACATGACACACAGAGACAAACACACACATGACACACAGAGATATACACACACACATGACACACACATGACACACAGAGAGAGACACACACACATATGACACCACATGACACACATGACACACACATGACACACATGACACACACATGACACACACACATGACACACACATGACACACAGAGACATACTCACACACATGACACACAGAGAGAGACACACACACATATGACACACACATGGCACACAGAGACACACCACACATTGACATACACATGACACACATGAACACACATGACACACACACAGAGACATACACACACACATGACACACACAGGCGCGCACACACACACATGACACACAGAGACACACTCACACACATGACACACACATGACCCACACATGATATACACATGACACACATGACACACACATGACACACACATGACACACACACCCACACAAGACACATACACACATGACACACACACACACATGACACACACACAGAGACAAAACACACACACACAGACACACACACATGACACACAGAGACACACACATGACACACATGACACACACACATGACACACGCGCATGACACACACTCATGACACACACACATGACACACATGACACACAGAGAGACACACACACATGACACACACACATGACACACACACACACACATGACACACATGACACACACATGACACACAGAGATGCACACACACCACATGACACACACATGACACACACACACATGACACACAGAGACACACACACACACACATGACACACATGAACACACATGACACGCACACACACACACACACACACACACACACACACACACATGACACACACACACATATACACACACACACACACAACACACACACACATACACACACATACACACACACACACACACACACACAACAACACATACACACACACACACACACACACACAACACACGCACATACACACACATACACACACACACATACACAACACACACACACACACATGACACACAGAGAGACACACACACATGACACACAGAGACACACACACACATGACACACAGAGACACACACACACATGACACACACACACATGGCACACAGAGAGAGACACACACACATGACACACAGAGACACACACACACATGACACACAGAGACACACACACACACACACATGACACACAGACACACACACACATGACACACCCACACATGACACAGAGAGAGACACACACACATATGACACACACACACATGACACACATGACACACACATGACACACACATGACACACATGACACACAGAGAGAGACACACACACATGACACCACGCATGACACGCACACATGACACACAACAGGGACACACAGAGACACACACCATGACACACACATGACCACATGACATACAGAGACACACACACACACATGACACACACATGACACACATGACACACACATGACACACAGAGACACACACAACATGACACACAGAGACACACCACACACATGACACACATGACACACACATGGCACACATGACACGAAACATGGCACACACGTGACACACACATGACACACATGACACACATGACACACATGACACACAGAGACACACACACACACACACATGACACACATGACACACACATGAACACACAGACACACACACATGACACACACATGGCACACATGACACACACATGACACACATGACACACAGAGACACACACCATGACACACACATGGCACACATGACACACAGACACACACACACACATGACACACACATGACACACATGACACACAGAGACACACACACATGACACACATAAACACCACATGACACACAGACACACACACACACACACATGACACACACATGACACACATGACACACAGAGAACACACACATGACACACATGAAAACACATGACACACAGACACACACACACACACATGACACACACATGACACACACATGACACACATGACACACACATGACACACATAACACACACACATGACACACAACATGACACACATGACACACACATGGCACACAGAGAGGGGACACCACACTTCACATGACACACACAACATGACACACACATGACACACATGACACACACATGACACACACATGACACACATGACACACACACACACATGACACACACACAACATGACACACACATGACACACATGACACACACATGAACACAGACACACAAACACACATGACACACACATGACACACATGACACACACATGGCACACAGAGACACACACACACACATGACACACACATGACACACATGACACACACATGTCACACAGAGACACACACACATGACACACACATGACACACATGACACACACATGACACACACAAGAAACACTGGAACTCATTTCAAGAACACGGCATAACGATGAACAAATCACATTGTTGGTTATATGATCTGTTCACATTTGTTCTGACACTGTTCTCAAAAATGACATCACTGGTGCGGTCTTAGTGTTCTAAAGAACGTTCACAGACGTTCTCTAGTACCTCTCACTATTGTTCTCTTAGTGTTCCCAAGTGTGTTTTCCGTGGTTCTCTAGGCTTGCTGACAGGTGTATTCTCTCCTGGCAGGTGTCCTGGATCAGACACAGGGACCTACACCTGCTTACCGTCGACAAATACACCTACACATCTGATCAAAGATTCCAGGTGAGTGGCACCTAGACACTACCAGGTGAGTGGGACCTAGACACTCCCAGGTGAGTGGGACCTAGACACTCCCAGGTGGGTGGGACCTAGACACTCCCAGGTGGGTGGGACCTAGACACTCCAGGTGGGTGGGACCTAGACACTCCCAGGTGGGTGGGACCTAGACACTCCCAGGTGGGTGGGACCTAGACACTCCCAGGTGGGTGGGACCTAGACACTCCAAGGTGGGTGGGACCTAGACACTCCCAGGTGGGTGGAACCTAGACACTCCCAGGTGGGTGGGACCTAGACACTTTCAGGTGGGTGGGACCTAGACACTCCCAGGTGGGTGGGACCCAGGGCACTTCCAGGTGGGTGGGACCTAGACACTCCCAGGTGGGTGGGACCTAGGCACTCCAGGTGGGGTGGGACCTAGACACTCCCAGGTGGGTGGGACCTAGACACTCCCAGGTGGGTGGGACCTAGACACTCCCAGGTGGGTGGGACCTAGACACTCCCAGGTGGGTGGGACCTAGACAATCCCAGGTGGGTGGCACCTAGACACTCCCAGGAAGTGGCACCTAGACACTCCCAGGTGAGTGGGACCTAGACACTCCCAGGTGGGTGGGACCTAGACACTCCCAGGTGGGTGGGACCTAGACACTCCCAGGTGGGTGGGACCTAGACACTCCCAGGTGGGTGGGACCTAGACACTCCCAGGTGGGTGGGACCTAGACAATCCCAGGTGAGTGGCACCTAGACACTCCCAGGAAGTGGCACCTACACACTCCCAGGTGAGTGGCACCTACACACTTCCAGGTGAGTGGCACCTACACACTCCCAGGTGGGTGGGACCTAGACACTCCCAGGTGAGTGTCACCTACACACTCCCAGATGAGTGGCACCTACACACTCCCAGATGAGTGGCACCTACACACTCCCAGATGAGTGGCACCTAGACGCTCCCAGGTAAGTGGCACCTAGACACTCCCAGATGAGTGGCACCTACACACTCCCAGGCGAGTGACACCTAGACACTCCCAGTTCACCTCAAGTAACCTCAAACCACCTCAGATGATTCCTGAATTGCCGTAAAGTGACACGATATTACTTCCAGGTGACTTTCGGTGGTCATAAATTCCTTCAGGTGAGTCTAAATTCAGGTGACCCCCAGATGATGGTAAATATTGTGCCGCTTCCAGAAAACAATTCCAAGGTGATTTGGGTATATACATAGATCGAATTACTGAAGAAAGGCACGAGATAATAGCATCTGATAAAGGTTTCAATTAGCAGTTGAAAGACCTCAAAATTTATTTCTATTAGGTAAGGTTATATATATATATATATATATATTATATATAATATATTATATATATATTAAAATTATATATATATATATATATATATATATATATATTATATATATATATATTTATATATATATTATATTATATATATATATTATATACATACGTGAGTGTGTATATATGTTATTATATATGAAATACCTGGTAACACTTAAGGCTTTTATACGTTATTTTAGTTGCGCGTTTTATATTAAAAAGAGCCGTTACTAACGGTCGTTAACGGTCATTAACGGCCGTTAACGGAAAAAACAATGATCGCTAGCAGAACTGTTGTAATCACCAGGAGGACAGTAATGGTAGCTAATATGAGAGGAGAGAGAGAGAGAGAGAGAGAGGAGAGAGAGATGAGAGAGAGAGAGAGAGGAGA